AAAAAAAAAAAAAGAAAAAAACCCCACACACAACTAAAAATAACCGCCGGGGCTGGGATTTACCTCGGGGGGGGCGGCAGCTGGAACGGGAAAAACACCCCTGGAAAAGCAAACCCGCCTTTGCTTTAATCCCCCCGCCTCCACTGCTGGGGTGCAGGAAAGAGGATGAGGAGGGCAAAAACTAACCCCGGGGGAGGGGAAGGGGGGGGGGTGAAGGCCGAGCGCGGCCCCGCCGCGGTGCCGGTGGCCCCTGGGCCGGCTCGCTCGCCTCTTGGCAAGCGCCGGAGTCTGATGCAATCGCCGCGCTGACGGAGGCGGCGGTTCCCACCTGTATTTGCCATTGTGTGCCCGGAGCTGTTTGCAGGTGTTTGCTGGCGCCGCGCTGTCTGAGCCGCACTTCCCTCCTCCTCCTCCTCCTCCTCCTCCTTCTCCTCCTCCTCCTCCTCCCGCGGCTGCCCCGGCCAAGGCCTGGCTCCCCCCGGGGCCCCCCCCGGGCGGCTCCGCGCCAGCCGCGCTCACACGGATGCGGCACACGCGTGACCTTGGCCGGGCGCGCTCGCGAGTGGGGCGGGGGGCGCGGGGGGGGGTGGTGGGGCGGGCTGGAGGAGGCCGAGGGTGGGTGTGCACGTGTGTTCACACGCGTGTGCGCTGCTGGGCGCTTGCACACGCGGCCACACTGACACGCGTGTTGGGCACGCTCACACGTGTGTGCACATGCACACCCACCCGAGTGCACTTACATATGACACATGCGTCGTGCACGCTCATGGATGTACAGTTACACGCGTGTCTGTGTGCATTTACATGCGTGCCTACACTGACACATCTGTGCACACTCACACACGTGTGCACATTTGCATGCATGTCTGTGCATTTACACACGTGCCTACAGACACCGACACGCGTGATCTCTCTCTCTCTCACACGGGGGCTGTGACACACACGTGCACCCCCTCAGCAGGGGCACACACGTGTGCACACAGGCACACCCTGATCCAGCACGGGTGGACACGCATCCCCACGCACAGCATTCCAAGTCCAACCCTAAGTGTCCATCCATCCTCATCGGCCCCGGGATGCCGGTACCGGGTGCGGGCCCCGCAGCCGCGGCTCGCTGCTGCCGTCTCCAGGGCACAGGAGGAAGAGCCCGGCTCGGGGAAGGACCGGCACCTCCTCTGGTGTTCGGGAGGAACTGAGACCTCCTCTGCTGCCCCTCGGGCAAGGACCGGGACCTCCCCCGGTGACCTTCCCCGGGAAGTATCGGGCTCTCCTCTGCTCCCAGCACCCAGCAAGTTCCAGGATCTCCTCCAGTGTCTCCCTCAGGAAGGACCTGGACCTTCTCCATCGTTTCACCTGGGAAGGACCGGGACCTCCTGTGTTGCCCCCAGCAAGAGAGTACAGGGATGTGTCACACTGGGCTGCTGGGCTTGCTGGCCCATCACCTGCCCCCTGCACAGTTATGCCCCCACCTTGGGCAGAACCTCTGCAAGGGCCTCTGTCAGCCCTTGCACCCTCTCTCTCCAGGGAATATTCCTGGGGAAGGAATATTAGGGGAGGGGGCCTCATTTGGGGTCCATAGCACAGCCTCAGCCCCCTGCTCCTGGGACACCCTCCTCCTCCTCCTCGTGGTCTGCCTCAACAGTGGGGTCCCTGATCCCTAAGCTGAATATCCAGAAGATTTTCCAGATCCTGAGGTGAGCAAGGGCAGGGTGGTTGTACCCCAAAGCCTCTGGTGAGCCTGTCTTGGTCTGAGCAGAGATTCAGTGGCCCAGATGTGGTGCCCCCATTCCTGTGTGCTGGATCTACACTGGGAAAGGCTCTGCTTTTGGAGGAGTTGGGGGCACAACCTGCCAGCCTGAGCACCCCCTGAACCCAGGCCCTCCCTGTACCCCAGTGTCCCTGTTCCAAGGGTCACCCACTGCAGGCAGCCTGAGGCAGCCAAAACCACGGATTTATCCACCCTGCTGGGTGTGGCCTTGTCTTTGTGCACTGAGATGGAGATGGCAGTTGCCTCCTTCCTGCAGGGGGGAAAACGAAGGTCTGGGTGGGTTGAGCTGCCAAGCTCAGCCGTGCTCCTGGCAGAGGGTCAGGGTGCCCAGCCGAGGTGGCATCAGTGCTGCCAGACCTTTTGTTGTGCCTCAGAGCCCCTGCACGGTGGGAGGCAAATGCCTGCCCTGGATTGGATGTTCCTGGCACGTTTTTGGGTGTCCCTTCCAGCTGAGTTGGAGTCTGGAGGTCTGGTGTCCTTCTCATCCACAGCAGAGGCCGTGCACGGCGTGTGTCCATCTGTCTGTCTTCCAGGAGGCTCCTTGGCAAGGAAGTCCATCTCTGCACGTGGTCACCCCCATCCCAGACCTGGATATGGGGTTGGCTCGTGCTGGAGAGGAAAATGAAAGAGAGGAATGAATGGATGGAAGCAACCAGGTGATGGAGAGGAATCAAGTGACGGAGAGGAACCAACTGCTGTGGCTCAGTGGCCTCAGCAGTTTTAAACTGTGGGGTGTCTCAGTGGCCTTTTACTGGTCTAAATAAGTCTCAGAGTTGCCCTCACTCAGGGGTTTGCCACTGCCTCAGTGACTTCTGTCACTGCTGCACCCTGAAATACCCCATGAGCCAAACTGGGGGCCCTTCACCTCGTCTTTCTCCCTCCTCTTTTCCAGAAAGCCCTGGTGCACACCAAGGAAGTACTGGGGGGGGACACACAGGTGACATTGAGTGGTGGGTGGAGTGAATTTCTGAGAGTGAACCGGGGGCCAGATCTGCTCATGCTGAGCCCCTCTGAGGTCCCTGCCCCCCCCAACAGTGCCGACCCCTGCCTGCAGGGTGGAGGGGTCCCAGACAGCCTCTGGCTGGTGGACCCCAACATTTTTTGTCTCCCAAAGAGATGCCCCACCCTGGGGTGCTGCAGCTGGGGGTGTGGGTGGGTGGGGGTGATGGGAAATGAGGGGAATGAGGATGGGGGAGTGATGGGGATGGGGAGACAATGGGGAAGGGAGGGTGATGGGGCTGGAGGGGGTCACGGCCGCCAGATTAGAACCTGACAGACTGAGGGAGGTGTGTGTCTCAAATAAATAAATAAATAAATGACAAAAAAAAGAGAATCGTAGCCGCGATCCCCAACTTCGATGACCTCCCATTCCAGGTGTGACCTCCTCATCCAACTGTTCAAAATAAGGCTCCCCCCCCTGATTTGCATACGGTGACCGCGCCCCCTTCCCTCCCTCCCGCTGCCGCGCGGGCCCTTTAAGGCTCCTCCCGCCGGTGGCGGGGAAGGGGCGGGGCCTGGGCGGCGACAGCCAATCAGCGCGCCGCGTTTTCCGCGGGAAATCCGAATTTCGCGGGACGGGTTTTGGCGCTTAAAAAAAAAACCGGAAAAAAAAAAAAAAAAAAAAGGAAAGAAGAAAAGAAAAGAAAAGGAGCGATCGGGCCCCGGCGCGATCGGGCGGCAGCGGAGCCGGGCGCGGGGGGTCCCGGCACAAGGCGGGGCCGCGCCCCGGCCCCATCTGGCCCCCAACACGGCCGATTTCTGGGGCCAAAAGCGCCTTTTTGCGGCCCGTTTTGGCGGCATCCCCACCGCGTTGCTTCTCTGCAGGTTTTTCGGGTTTTTTGGGGGGATCGGCCCATGGCATCGCCCGCCGGGCCCCCTCCCCGCCCCCCCAAAATGCCACGGCTGAGATTGTGACCCCCCTCCCCAGTGCGGAACCGCGGGGTGTTCCTGCCCCCTCCCCCGGGCCGGGCTTCTCGGAAAGGACTTTGCAATGCTGCGGCTCCCCAGGGGAGTGTCCCCCGCCCCGGGGAGGGGGGGCACCGCCCTCCCGGCCCCCGCTCCCCACCACCACCCGAAGAAGGCCATGTCGGTGATGGGCTCCTGCGAGCGGGGAGCCTCCAGCATGGGCAGCCCCCCGTTATCCAGCGGCTGCTTCACCCAGGTCTACACGCCGGCGGCTGTCAGCGTCCCCGCTGCCCGCAGGGGGTGTTTCTATGACACCCCCCAGGGCCCCGAGCTCAGGACCCTCGACTCAGCCTCGGCGGGACGGCTGCCGGTAAGGTGTCTGCACCCCCTCCCCACGCCGGGCATCGCTGCGGGGGCACGGGGGGCTGGGGGTCGAGCAGGGTGGGGAGCGAGGGGTGGGTGACCCCAGCGTGTGCAGCCCCCTCCCTTCCAAATTTTGCAGCTGATACTGGGGGTCTGTGCGCCCCCCCCCCAAGGTGTCTTTTTGTGGTGGGGGAGGGTGAGGTCTGAAATCAGGAGTCTCAGTGAAATGGCTCAGATGTTTCCCAACTTCCCCTCGCCCCTGCGTGCCCGCGGCTCCGGCTTCCGCTTTTCGGCCTTTTTCGGCCCTTTTTTCCTTTCTCCAGCTGGCGAAAAGTCCGGGTTGTGCCTCAAAACCCACCCAGGACTCCCAGGCCCTTCGCGAACCCCTTTCCTCGGCGGGGCAGCAAGGGGTGGGTGCAGGCAGCAGAACCCCTGCCTGCTGTGGGTGGGGGGCACTGGCCCTGCCCTCTGGCTCTCCCCCCTTCGGGGCTGTGACCCCCGGGGCGGGGGGACACGGGACAGGGCTGGATCAGCATCGCTGCCCATCCTTGGTTCCTGCCCGTGGCTATAGCAGGACTTGCGCTGACTGTTTTTTTGGGAAGGGGGTGTCCCATCCTCCATGGGTCACCCCAAGGCTTTCACAGGGACCCCGTTGCTGGGAGCCGTGTAGGGGGGTCGCTGTCCCGTGTCACCAAGTCCCCAAGGGGGTCACAGCTGTTGCCTGCAAAGCCCAATGCCCCTAAAACAGGGAAGCTGAGGCACAGGTCGGGCGCTGGCCCCGTGCCCGGTTTTGGGGCGCACGGGTGGCTCTGCCCAGCCTGTTCCTCCTCCTGGAGGGCCCCCGCAGAGCCCCCTGGCCCCATCGGCCCCGCTGGCAGCTGGCATTTAATTCCTGCCCGCCCCAGCCCGGGCGCAGGTCCAGCCCTCACTGTGAGCCTCTGTTCTCCCTGGGCCCTGGGAGGGATCCCAGACCCCGCTAACTCCCATTTAGTTTTTTTCAAGGCTTGATTTATTTATTTATTCCCCCCTCTTCTCCCTCCTTTTCCCCACTCCCCGATGCTCGGTGCCAGCTGGGGACATGGCCCCAGCGGGGGAAGAAGGGGTGTCTTTGCTCCCCTCCTTTGTGCCGTGGCTGTGGGGTTGGATGGGGCCATTTCGAGCCCCATCCAGGGGGGCTTTAGGACCACCTGTCTCCTCTCTGGCGTCTTTGTCTCTAAACCGTGTGAGATGCCACATCCTGCAATGCCAGGGGCTGTTGTTTAAGGAGACACCATCGGTGCTGACCCCTCCCCTACAATCACCCCACAAACTCCCAGTCCTATCGCTGTGGAGATGGTTTTGGCCCTTTTGTCGTGATCACCATCATCATCATCATCACCCAGGAGATGCTCAGGGTCTTCCTGCCTGGTGCTGTCCCCTGAATGGGGTCTAGGGGGCTTGTGTGACGCTTGGGGACATGAAATGCTTGTCCTCAAGTGACACTTGGCATCAAGAGGTTTTGGGCTAATGGCCTCTTTGTCATCACCACCATCGCCATCATCATCATCATCACCCGCACTGGGAGATGCTCAGGGTGTTCCTGCCCACAGCTGTCCCCTGAACAGGGTCTGGGGGGGCTTATTTGACACGTGGGGACACAACAGCGCTCCTACATCCCCCTTGGTGTCTCGTAAGTGCCGTTCCCCTCTGTCCCCATCCCATTCCCTGCTGCCATTATCCCCTTCCCGGCACTGGAGATTCCATTTCCAGCCCCTGGTGCGGCACTTGCAGCCCTTGACAGCTGGGGCTCCTGCCCCACACACCCCGTTTATGGCACAACCTTTGTGTGCAGAGCCGAGGCAATCAGATAATGAGCGTTTCCTCCCAATTCCTGAGCAGGGCAATCGCGGCCGCTCCCACCCGGCACCGGCTTTGTGCCGCAGGAATGATCTGGGGTCACCTGGAGGAGCCCATTACCCCATGGGAAAGCAGGATGGGTTATCTCTCGTGGTCCAAAAAAGTTCTAAATTTCATATACTCGTTGATCTGAGGCTTCTGGAGTAGGTAAATGCATTTTCCTCCGTGGAAAAATGGGTATTTGGGAGTGTTTTTAGTCCATGACAACACTATCCTGAGTGGGGTCTCTATAGGGGCTGTGGGGTCTCTGTAGGGGCTCAGGGCTGTCCAGGAACACCAGAGGGAGGGCTGTCTGTGCCATGGGGTCCCAGCTCTCCCTGCTTGCTCCGTGCCAGGACAAGGGTGTCCAGAGTCCACCACGGTTTCGGTATGACCTGGCAGGGCCGAGCCACCCGTGCAAAGAGCACCCGAGGGTGGCAGCCCCTGTGGGTGCTGGGTTGGCGGGAGAACCTGCTCAGCAGCACCCCTGGATTACACAGGGGTGACACAGGGTGATCCTGTCCCACCTTGACCCCATCAAGGGGCTTTTCTGCATGGGCAGGAGGAGGGAATTTTTGGGGGTGGGGATGGGTGGGGAGGTGGTGACTGTGCTGTTGCCTTTGGAGGTTTTTTTGGGGGATCTGGCTTTTACAGCCTTTATCTCCTCTCCACTGGGTAATGTCCTGGGAAGGGGGTGTGGGAGGGGATGGAGATGCTGGCTGCACCCTGGAGTGGGGAGCAGTACCTGGGGTGGGGGTTACTGCCTTCCCCCCCAGTGCAGGGTGGTCCCTGCATCTCCCAACCCTGGGATCAACCTCCCACCCTCCCTCCTCCAAACGGGGGGGGTTCCACATCCCCCTGTGCCACCCCTCGTGCCCCACTAGCCCTGAGCCACCCCAAGGCAGTGGGGGCTGTGCCTTGGGGGGGGGTTCTGACCCAGCAACCCCGTGCCATGAGCAGCATCCTGATCCCGGGGTGTCCCGTGGCCCCCCCGGCAGCTCCGGGTGCTGCGTTCCCACGCCCCCGTGGGGGCGGCAGGGCTGGAAAAGGGGAGGGGATGGGGAGGGGAGAGCCCCATAAAGGGCCGGGCAGGGCCCGGGCAAGCCCGGGGAAGGCAGAGAGTGCTGTTGAAAGGGAGGGTTGGCAGGAGGAGCCCCCCACGGCCCCCCCAGGGCTGAGGGATGCTCTGATGCTTGGGCTGGGCGCAGGGTGTAGCCCCTGGCGCCAGGGCAGGGCCAAGGGCTGCTTGGCAGGCAGAGCTGGCAGGGGGCCCAGCGTGCCCCCCCCTGGTTTTTTACACTCCCCCAAATTTTGGAGTTCAGCATCACTTCCCAACCCGCCATGCTATCAGGGTGTCCCCGTATCCTGAGATGTCATACTGGGTGGATGGCATGGTAGGGGCCCTGCCATGCCCTGAGAGGGTCTTTAGGTTTGATCCCTGCCCCCCCCCCCCACCTGCTCTGGTTCATCCAACCCCCCTGGTGCTGGCAGGGTGCTGCGAGCCCCTCGCTGTGCCCCGCTCAGCTGTCGTGTGCCTAATCCTGCCTGGCTGAGGGGGTTGGCAGCTGGGGCACAAGAGGGACCCCCTTGTCCATTGTCCCTCGCTGGGACACTCAGGGTCCTGCCCCTGCCGCCCCCCACCTCTCCAAATTGCACATTGGGGGGGCAGGGGTCTCTCTTTCTCCCCTCCTGCACAAGGGGAGGGGGAGGTTGGAGGTGTCTGGGAACACAGTGGGGTGCTCCCTGCCTCAGTTTCCCCAGGGCTGGGGCAGGTGGGGTGCAGCTGAGCCCCCCCAGCAGCGAGGGGAGCACACGTTGGCCACGGCTATCAGTGCTGGAGGAGCAAAGGGGTGCCAGCAGAAGGGGTGGGGGGGTCAGGGTGATGCCTCCCCCCCCTCCCCGTGCTGGCAGATGGATGGGGTCTGATCCGGGGCAGGTGTTTCCCATGCACTCGGCGTTAACCGTTGGGGTGCCGGAGGCTCCGGGGCGGATCCGGGGGCAGGGGGCCGGCGATGGAGGCTGGGAAAAACCTGCTCGGGGAAGGGTGGGAGGGAACAGATTCCCACAGGAGCTCGGGACCTGCCTGGCTCCCTGGGGGGGCGGAAAACAGCCCCCGGGCGCCTCTCCCGCCGGCCCCCTCGGGTGGGAACACGCCGAGGTGCCCAACCCTTCCCCACAGAGCGGGGTGTGCTCCCCAGGGAGCCGCCGTCAGAGGCACTGGGACCTGGGAGCCATGAGGGACGTGCTGGGAGGGACCCTGTGGGACAGCCCGGCCTGGAAGCAGGTACTGGGAGGGGATGGGATGGAACTGGGGGATATCCTGGGGGACAGCCTGGCCTGGGAGCAGGTACTGGGGGGGTTGAGATGGGACTGAGGGGCTGATTTCTGCTGCTGAGCTGCTGATGTGTCCCCCCCGAAATCCCCCAGTGCACACTGGGGGGTGTGGGGCTATCCCTGGGGATTTGTTTGGGTTGGGAGTGGTTGGGTGACACCCCCCCCCAGCTCCCCCCTGTGTCTGCTCCGCTGTACCCCCCCCCCCCTTTTCCCTTCTCCCCAAGTGATGCTGGGGGGCCCTCAGGGGCGATTTCCAGGAGCTGCTTGCCCTGGTGTGTGGGGATGTGCGTGTGTGTGTGTCCCCTCCCAGGACCCAGTAGCCCCCCCCACCCCCCCAGTTTGCCCCAGTTTCCCTCCAGCTGGGTGCACGTGCCCGGGGCACCCGCAGGCCCCGTGGGGGCTGAGCCTGGCTGGTCCCAGGTGTGCTGGTGGCAGCTGGGTGTCCTCGGCTGCCTCAGCCGTGACCCCGGGTGGGAGGAGGGGGAGGGTGAAACCCAGCTGGCAGGTGGGAGGGTGAGGATCCAGCTCTCCGGAGCCTCCACGTTCCCAGGGCTCAGCCCCGTGGACTTTTGGCAGGAGCTGGGGGTGAGGGGAAATCCCAGTGGGTTCCTGGGGAGCTCTGGGGCAGGCAGGAAGCCACGTGGGGTGGATGGGACCCCCCATCCGCTCCCATCCCAGTTCTCCCAGTGGCCCCTGGGTGCTGCTGTGCCTTTTCCCAAAAGGGATTTGGAACTGGATGAGCCTCTTGCCGACACCTCCCACCACAGGATGTGGCACCCAGGGCTTTGTTGATGACCCCGGGGGGGGCTCTGGGGGGCTCACAGGGGTGTCTGGCTCAGCCCCAATGCTGAGTTTTTCTCTCCTGCTCCAGGCCAAGAGGAAGCTGGACCTGGAGGGCCCTGAATTTCGCACACCCAAGGGGAAGGGCCGGACACTGGCGCAGGTCCCCAGTCCAAGGAGTAAGTGGTGCTGGGTGAGGCGAGATGGGGGGGACAGCTGGGAGAGGAACACACCCCACTTCTCTTCCCTCTTAGAACCATGTCCCCTCTAGCACCACCCAATGTCACCTCCATCCCACACTGAGAAGGGGAAAAGGGGGACCCTCTTGTGTCCAGCCCTGTGCCACCTCCATCCCACATCCCAAACTAAGGAGGGGACTGCGGGGGTTGTCTCCTGTTTCCCCCACAGCCCCCAAGTCTCCCGGGGAGAAGACCCGCTATGACACCTCCCTGGGGCTGCTCACCAAAAAATTCATCCGCCTGCTGAACGAGTCCCCCGATGGCGTCGTGGACCTGAACCGGGCGGCCGAGGTGCTGGAGGTCCAGAAGCGCCGCATCTACGACATCACCAACGTGCTGGAGGGCATCCAGCTCATCCGCAAGAAGTCCAAGAACCACATCCAGTGGATGTAGGTGGTGCTGGGGGGGGAGGGGGGGGTGGGCTGGAAACGGGCTGTGGGGACGGGGTGAGGCGGGTGGCTCGGGGGACGTGCGGGGCGTGCTGTGGTGTCATCGATGTCACCTGGGTGCCATCCCCGCTGGCAGGGGCACGGGGATCTTCGAGGACGCGGCGGTGACGGCGAGGCAGCAGGTGCTGCGGGGGGAGCTGGCGGAGCTGGCCAGGACGGAGAGGACGCTGGAGCAGCTCGTGCAGGACTGTGCCCTGCAGCTCCGGCAGCTGGTGGAAGACGAGGCCAACCAGAGATATCCTTGCTGGGGGAGATGGGAGGGTGGTAGGGAGGGAGGGAGGGCAGGGGCTTGGGGAACCCTCTGAGCCTCTTCTCCAGTTGGATTCCCCCAGGCTTGGGGGGAATGTTCGGAGGGATGGGGGGTTTGATGTCCTGCTTGCAGCCCCTCTTTTTCCTATACCTCATCCCTGCCCACGCTGGCATATGTCACCTACCAGGACCTCCGTGCCATCAGCAGCTTCCAGGAGCAGACAGTGATCGCTGTGAAGGCTCCCCCAGAGACGCAGCTGGAGGTGCCAGACTTCAGCGAGGTGGGTGTGTGTGTGGGTGTTTGGGGCTGGGGTGTGGGTGCTGCTGGATCCACACTGTCCTCGGTGGGCTCCTCTGGGGAACCAGCCCAGCCTGACCCTGGGTGGTTTTGCGGTGTCCCTGTGGGGCTGTTTGACCCTGGGCTGGTCCTTTGGGGGTTGCAATGCCCTGTGAGGACCCCTTATGGGTTGGGGGCTGTGGGGTGGGATATGGGACACCTTCTGGGTGCCCCCCTGAGCCTTGCTCTGCCCCTCCAGGACACCTTCCAGCTGCACCTGAAGAGCACCAATGGCCCCATCGAGGTGTACCTGTGCCCAGAGGAGATCACAGAGGAGAGCCCCACCAAGGACCACCCCGTCCCCTACGCTGCCGCCGACCACCCCATCCCCCTTTCCCCACCAAACAGCTCCAGACCCTCCCCACAGCTGCCCCACGCCACCCCCCAGGGCTGGGGGGGCACAGGAACCCCCTCCTCGCCCTCATCTCTGCCTCTCACCATCCTGGGGGGGCCCAGCTCGCTACTGGAGGTGGAGCCCGGGCTCCTGGGCTCTCCTGCCCACCTCCTGCAGCAGACAGAGGACCAACTGCCCTGCACCCCCTCCCACCTGGACTTGGGACCCTTCGTCGCCTTCTCGCCCCCCCTGGAACAGGACGATTATCTCTGGGGGCTCGAGGGCGAGGGTGTCACTGACCTCTTCGAGGCCTACGACCTGGGGGACCTGCTGAAGCCCTGAGTGTCCCCCCAGGCCCCACTGCCTTCGTCCCCGCTGGTCACTTGTGTCCTGAGCCCGTGGGGTCTCTGCGGGGTTGGCTGGGGAGAGTGGGGGGTGTTGGGGAGCGCCGGGTTTTCTGAGTGTGTGGTGGGGGGCTTGTGTTGCCCACCCTGTGTGGACTCTCCTCACTCTGCTGGGCTGGTTATCACCTGGGGCTGGGGTTGCCCCATCCAGGTCCACATCCCAGTGTCCTCTCAAAAAGCTGTGGGGTGCCAGTGCTGATGTTCCCCACCATAGTCCCCCCCTCACTACCCTAGAGGTGCTGGTGGACCAGGGATGCCTCTGGGTACCCCAGGTGGGTTTGGGGCACCCCTGGGTGGGGGCAGAGAGATCCGTGTCCAGAATGGGCTGTGTCATGTTTTCCAGTTGCTCCCCAGTTAAACTGGTTCTTCAGGGTCATGACAGGTCATTTTCCCCCCACCACAGCTGGAATATCCTTAAAATAACCATCCAGGCAGCAAAGCTGAAGTCACTTTTGGGTGATGAGAGGGTGAAGCTCACGAGGCTCCAGCAAATCCCTGGCCAGGACACTGAGCCATATTCCCTGGGGGGGCTGCAGCCCCTCTCCCCCAGTCCTTACAAGCTCCCTCCAGCCTCTCAGAGCTACTGGTGCTGGGAGTATTGAAACTGGAGTGTACTGGGAGGAGGTGTTGGCCTGCAGAGAGGGGCTTGGTAAGCAGCATGGGACAAGCCCTTGGACACAGGGCTTTCAATTGCAAAAATATCCGTAATTATTGCACTGTATTATTTATCTGGGCCCTCCCTTTGGTGTGGGGCTGGTGGGGGTCGTGGTGGGGGGTTGGATTTGTCAGTGGGTTTATTTAAGTTATCCTTCCTTGGGTTGTTGGTGCTCCTGCAGTTTGGCTTGGAGGTGGTGTGGGTGAGAGTGTGTTTTGGCTTGGAAAAACTCGTGGCACTTGATATTTTCTGCCCGGGAGGGGTTGAAATAAAATTAAATTTCAGAGTTTAGAAGGGGCTGTTTTCCTCTAAGCAGCAAAACACTGGAGAGATTTGAGAGGAGGGAGGCGTTGGGCTGGTTTTGTTCCTGTTTTCAAGCATAAAAAAGCCTGTTTTGGGGCTTTTTAACTGGCCAGTCTGCTCTGAAGGCACTGGTGGAGAAGGGGGTTGAGATGAAGCCATGAAAACAAGTCTGACCTGCTCCAATTGGTGATTTCCAGCCCAAATCCAGCTGGGATGAGCCTTCGCCTGAGCTCGAGCCCCTTAAACCAGGAGCATGGGAAAAGCTTCAGGGATGGGGGTCAGGTCCCTATGGATACTGGGGCTGGATGGGCTCATGCACCCCAATTTCAGGGCAGGTTTGGGGGCTGCAGAGCAAGATCCTGGGGCAGCTGTGCACTTGGAGGGTCCTTCCCCAGCGCACTGCCTGTCCTGGGGATGTGCAGGTGTCACAGTGATCAGTGGTACCAGGGGATGGTGGTACCTGATGTCTGGTGGTCCCCACTGATGTCTGGTGATACCTGAGCTTGTGGCACGTAGTTCATGTGGTGAGAAGGAGGAAGAGGAGGAGGAAGACGAGGAGGAGAGCCCCGGGCCAGGTAAGCCAAGCGAGCGGCACACAGTGCTGTAGCACGACCCTGTCCCCATGTCCCCACCCCCGTGGGGATGCGTGTCCCGCAGGAGCTCGAGGGGTGTCCCCGGGGTGTGTGGCCCCGTCCCCGCAGTCCCCGGACCGGCCAGGAGGTGGCAGGGCCACCCCACCCAAGGGACCGTCCCGGCCCCGCGCCCGGAGGGACCTCGGAGGAAGAGAAGGTCGGGGGGGCTCTTACCCAGGGGGAACCCCCAAATCCCTTCTGCTCCCGTCCTGCCTGGGCTGCAGCCTCTTAACCCTGGGTCTGCCAGAACCCTGCTCTCCGCGGAGATGTCCCGGGAGCTCGGCAGATGCTGGATCCTCTCCAAATTAGGGTGGGCACCCCAAAACCGTGGGTTCGGTGTCTGTTCAGCCTCAGCGTCTCTCCTGGGGTGTCCTGGGTGTTCCTCCGGGAAGAGCAAATAACCAGGAATGGAACACCAAAATCCAGCTCCTTGGGCCTGTGAGGGGTGGGAGAAGTGAGGGGACAGTGGGTTCAGAGGTCCTCTCCGGCGAAACGAAGAACCGAGGGCTTTGGGAATCGTTCCCTGCTCGGGGTCTCAGGAAGGGCAGGGTGGGGGCAGCCTCCGGTTAAACCAGTGCCCTGGGGGGACGGGGTTTGATCCCAAGCCATCCTTCACTGTGTCTCCATCTCCTGCCGAGCCGGGGTGAGGTGGGTCCTGGGTGCCTGGGGAAGGTGGATGTCGGGGCGCTGGGTGCCGTGCTGTGAAGAGACCAGAGGTGCAGATCCAGCCAGAGCTCGGGGGGTTTTCCCTTCCTCCCACCACCGCACCGGGAGACCCCGCACCCCCCATCCCCCGGCGCGGGGGTCGCTTGGGGGGGTTTTTGGGGACGCCGGGGGCTCTTCGCCTTTAACGGGCGGGCGGGCGGGGCCGCCTCGTGACGGCGGCGGGGCGGGAGCGGGCGGCGGGGCCGGAGGGAGGGAGGGAGGGAGGGAGGGAAGGAGCAGCTCCCGGTTGCGGCGCGCGGGGCTCCCGGTGCGGGGCGCGGGGCGCTGAGCCGGGCTGAGCCCGCACCCCCCGGGGCGCTCCGCAGGGGGAGCCCCCCGCGCTCTCCCCGTGCCCCCCAAGCCCCGGTGCCCCCTCCCCGCTGTCCCCCCCCCCCGCACCATGCCCGAGCAGCTCAGCGTGGCCGAGTTCTTGGCCGTGACCGGCGAGGATCTGAGCTCCCCGGCCGCCGCCTTCGCCTCCAAGATGCAGAAGTGCCGGGGGGCGGTGGGGGCTCTGGAGGAGGTGAGCGGGGCCGGGGGGACTCGGGGGGAGTGGTCGGGCTGAGCACCCCACCTGGGAACACCCCCTTCACTCGTAGTTGCTGCTCCCTTGATGTTTGCTCCTCCTCGGGGTTTCTGTTTCTTTTGGGGTTCCCCCCTTTCACCTCGACACCCTAAGGCGGGTGAAGAGGGACCCTCGGGTAGGGAGCTTGTTTGCATTGTCCAGCTGTCCCAGCGTGCGTTTTTTGGGGGGGCAAAGCCTATAGAAACGGGCAAAAGGCTTCTCTAAAGCCTCCTTTAAAGCTCCACGTGCCCCCCGGACCCGGGACATCGCCCCGGAGCCAGGGCGTCCCCCTGCATCCCTGGGGCCAGAGCATCCCCCCAGTCCGAGGGGATGGGAAGGGCATCCCTCCTGGGACAAGGGGCAAGGGGCATCCCTCTTTTTCCCCCGGGACCAGGGCACACCCCCTTCTCCCAGGGGGGAGGAGGCCCCCCAGAGCATCAGCCACTGTCGAGTTCTTGTGCTGGAGTCCGCTCCGATGGGACTCGGGGGGGCTCCCCTGAGATGAAAGCCAGGGGAGTATTTTTAGCCTCCTCCCCAAAATCCCCGGCAGCATTTGTGGGAAGGGCGGAGGTGGCGGGGGGTGCCTTCGTCCCCCTTCTCCCGCCTGGAATAAAGGCGGTTTCCAGCTGGTCCTGTGGCTTTTGCCAACTCCTCTTAGCGAAGGAATGGCTTTGAAGGAGAGCCAGGGCTGGCGGGGAGCAGGGGGGGCCCCAGGTGCTGGGGCTCTGAGATCCCTGGAGGCAGCAGGATGGGTGTCCGGGGGCTGGAAATCTGAGGACACATCATGGAGCATCCTGGTCTCCACCAGTACGTGCTGGTCACTGCCGTGGATCTCCTAGCATGGACTGGGGGGAATCCAGCTGGGAAGGGGGAGGCAGCTCCAGCCAGGAGGGAGCAGCAGGAATTTTCTTTGGCTGCTTGGAGAGGCTATGGATAAAGGGGACAGGGATGGGGGGAGAGGCATCCCCCAGGAATGGCAGGGGGTCTCTGTGGGGTTGGCTTAGTGAAGCTCCAGTGAGTGTGAGAGAGGCAGGAATCGTGACTGGTGTCTTGTGCCGTGGGGGGCACGGGGCTGAGCCCCCCGTCCCACTGGAGGCTGCAGGGGGGGGGGACCAAACCCCTGCCAGGCCTTTGGCATCCCAGTGTCCCAGCACGAGGGGAAGAGGGAAATTTAACCAAACCAGCTCCACCCCACCCTCAGAACCCCTGATGGGGCGATAGAATCAGGCAAGGGGGATAATCAGCCCCGAGTTTGGAACGGGGCGGGGTGTCAGAGGGGACTGGGCACCTCCAGGCCAGGCCAGGGTGACATGGCACAGAGGCTGCTGGTGCACCCAGTGGCAGAGCTGGCAGATGAGCTCCCAGCTCCCCCCTGTCCCCCAGGGCAGCACCACATCCTGCTCCCAGCCTGGCAGTTTGTCACCCCGGCCCTGGCACCCGCGGCGGCTCCTTCGCCGGGCGGCACGAGCCAGTGCTGGGGGGGGGATGCAGAAGAATGGCCCCCATTGAGCCTCCAATCCCTGGAGCCTGGGGATTCATCCCTTCCTCCAGCCCACAGGGGATCCCTCCTGTTCCCAGCCCCACTGTCCTCAGCTGCCCCATGACCTGGAGCCAGGGGGTGATGGATGTTGTGGGGGGCTCCAGACATCTCTGCCCCCCACTCTGGAGGGCTGTCCCTGTGCAGCCAAGGCCCTTGTTCCCAGCAGCCAGCCTGGCACATCAGGGATGCCAGTGCTGCCCAAGCTGGGCCAGCAACATGAAGTGATTTCCCCTGCATTTACCACCCCAGTGCCAGGCTCTTCTGCCCTGTCTCCACTGGTGAACTCATGGATCCTTCCCAAAAGCCTTGTGTCCTTCCCTGGATTGTCCCTGCTCCATACCAGCCCCACATTCAGCCTGTTGCAGCCGTGAGCTGGCACCAGGATGAGCTGCCCCATCCTGGACAATCAGAGCAGTTTCTTCCCCCATTGTCCCAGTGATGCATCCAGAGCATCTCATGCTGCCTCAGTTTCCCCTTCTTGGGACTATGCCACGTTTGCAATCCTGGAGCATACAGTCATCCAGCCCTGGCTTCCCCCCTGAGGCAGAGAATCCCTCTGCTCTGGAGGGCTTGGTGTGCCTGGATTTGGTG